AACTTACTAATATAATTTATAAATAAATTCACTACCCACTCAATACTAATTAATAAACCCGCCCCGTTACTAATGCAACAATAGTAAAGTTATTGCCAATGAATATTTCTAAAAGTTTGAAGCGAAAATATCTATTGAAGTACATTATCATACATTCAAGTCCCTAATCAAAACATATTATAACTCAAGTGTCTAAATAAAATTACCGATAAACATAAAAGTTTGACTATGTTCATCTTAATTATTCATTTTTCTCAATTTTGTTTTGGTATTTTTTTTATAAAAATAATATATTAAAGTTTAAATATTTAAAATAAATCATAAATATCTATGCAATTATATTTTAAAAAGGCATGAATTAATTCGAGATGCACGACTTTTTTTTATCTTTAATCGTAAATTTCAAATTCAACCTTGAAAGAGAATTCTATTGAAAGTGTCCTCCTAAATATGCGGCTCAACCTAAATTAAATTGTGGCTTCAATTCGAACTCGAATAATTTCATCATATTTTAGTAGTATTTAGGGCGATTTTGATATTAGAATTGGTTTATTAATTGGATGAGATTTGATTGTTAATGAGTGGATAGTGAATTAGTTTGTGAATAATATTAATAAATTAAATTATAATCAATAGTTGAATGTCAAATATTTAAAAAAAATATTTAAACAGTTTAAATTAAAACCGTTGGATAAGCAGTGAATTTCGAATTCAAAGGTGGATGAGAAATGTATTTTGAAGTCAATAGGTAAATGATAAGGACATTTTGAAGCCAACAGACGAATGAAAGGTAATTTTATACCATTTCCAATATTTCAAAAATATTTTAAGCCCTTTTTCGTTTTAACTTATCCACAATAAAAATTACACTTACGTTATAATAAAACTATTCTGTGTTTTTTTTACCAAGGTAAATAAATACAAACTAAAATCATTTTTATTATAATGAACAAGGAAAACAGATAAGATTTGATAAATACTTGCAAGTTGCAACATAAATAGACCAACAAAGGACGGCAAGTCTTTCAGTTCTTTCTTTTTCTTTTTACGAAAAGACGGAATAAAAGGCTTTCCGACATCTTCAAATTCATCTTGATATTTTATTCAGGGAATCTGATGTGACCGCTAAAATTCCGCCAAATGCATAATTCCACAAATTTCAATCTTCTGCACTAAAATTAATCCCATGACTTTCTCTTTTTAATCAAATATTAGTTGAACATTTTACTCAAAATAGTTATTACATAATTCATATATCCTTATTTACTTATTGATATTTTCTCATTAAATATCTCTATTTACTTGTTTATTTTATAAATTAAGAAAAGACAACTTTTTTCTCTTTTTATACCCTCATTTAAACTTTTCTAAAATTTCAAAATTTTAGTGCATTCTTTTTGAAACCATATTTAATAAGGATAAGATTATAACTTCACTATGTTAATTGTTTTTATCTTAATATGTACGCTTTTTCTAACGTGGACAACTTAACAGGGACAAAGGGAGTATAACTCAATCAAGAAATCATTGATTAAAATTTTCCTACATTACTTTTATAATTAGTTTTTTTAAAGTGTTCATATTTATTTGTAAAATTCAAAAAAAAATATTTTAAAAATGAATTAAAAATATTATCTTCTTATTTATAATTTCTTAATATGCGTGTAAAAATAAAAACAATCGACCGAGGGAATACTCACCATTCAGAGACACTTAACTTAGCTTTTTTTTAATTATTATTTAAATCAAACAAAAAAATGTTAAGCCGCAAGTACTGAAGTATTCAAACCAGTCCATTACTAAAGTTCAGCAAATAGAAATAAATTACCCATATTTACAACGGAAACTTATATAAATATACTATAATAAAAAAATATTTATCATTTATAATAATAATTTTTTTTTACTTGACTACATTTAATACATTATAATGCAAGTTTAATACATACTACAAAGATAAATTTATTGATCAAATATAATACAAGTTTAATTGATAGATAATACATTTATCACACGTTTTAATAAACTTATAATACAATGTGACAATTTCTTACCAAACAAACATAATATATTTCAAAAAACAATTATAACTCAAATATATTGCAAACATAATTCACTTTTAATACATATTTATCACAATATTGTTATAAATGATAATAAATAAAAAAATATCGCTAAAATCAATAATTATTTTTAAAAATGAATTTATTCATGTAATTTTTCCTATTTGCAGATACTAAAATATAATTTGTGCCCAACAAGCTAATTATTACTTGCGCTGAATGGAAAAAAACTATTTCCTCAGATCTATTTTAGTGTTTTTGTAACCCCTCATGACAAAGAATGGTCGAAAAGATGTCCTTACTAAAATAAAAGATTAAGTGAACAAAAAAGTATTTTGGCATTTTCCCTAAAGGTGGTCCTCATGATGCCCCTATGAGCTTACCCATGATATGATACCCTCTTTCTCTAAAGTATGCTAGCTAGTCTCATGCAAGTCATTAAGTACTTCATTGATCTTTACCATAGTTGACCTTGCACTTGCTCCACTTTAATGAATAACAAAAAGATTCTCCCCGACATGAATTGTGATGAAATGATTGAAATTCTCTATCGTTTCAAAGCCTTAACATTCGAGCTTTGAATACGGAAAAAAATTATATTGGAAGCCGTCGCCCCAAGAAATGACTCTTGTAATGCAAGAATCTAATTAATCGAGGTTCAATACAGATACCAAATATCAAGTGAAAAAATAAAAAAAGAAAAGAATAATAAAAGATCTCCAAGTTACATAGGTACATTCAACCAATCAAGACGAACATCTATCGTTTTCATTATCTCATTCTCTCCGTCCGTCCAATAATCAACAACACCGCCTACATCCTTTTGCCACTTAGAAAGGCACCATTTTGGCTCCCAATAGGCCAAGCTCCAATACTAAAAATTCTCCTCATTTTAAATAGGGCCTCCACTAGAAAGGAGTGTCATAATCCAAGAACTTTTTTTTTTTTAATTGGAGGGTTCATCTAGTTCTTTTTGAGAAACCATAGTTCAGAGAAAAGGTTCTTTGAGATATAGGAAAGGACATATAGATTGACTAGTCTCATCATCATCGTTATCCTCTTCAATATGCCTTATCTCATTGATTCTTAAAATTAGGTCAGCAGACCTATTGCTTTCTTTTGTACCTATATCAAGGAATAAACCTAACTGGTACTTTGGACCACATGTAAGCTTGTAAAGTTGGATTGCACCACTTTGGTGTACATGTAACAGATTAAACTAGGTCAAATAAGTTTTTTCATAGTACTAGGTCTAAGGACCACTTAGTTACCAATGACCTACCTTTTTTGCTAATGATGTACAGATAATTTTCAGAAGCTCTGATCCAGAGAAAGGAAGTTTGAAGTACCAACATCTAATAGTGTGACCTAACAATCAACATCACAAGTAAAAAAAAATATGGATTACAAAGGTTCAACAATAAATGCTAAGTGATCTATTCTCATCTATGTGCACGACACGAATATCATCTTATTCTAAAAATAAAAAAAGGGTGGACAAACCTCAATATATAACATATCTATATATATAAAAAAAAGAGGGATATGTAACAAGTGTAATAGTGCAACCCACTATACTTCATGGGGCATTTGTGATGCAAAAGAAGTATTTCATTTTCTAAAGTGAACTAATGACGGAACAAAAACTAATCAGCATGAAAATCCAAAACACTTGTTAAAAATGTCTAAAAACAGATAGTGTTCATGTATGTTGACTGATTATTGCCTTCAACATATGTGACAGTATAACACTTCATTAAATGAACCTCAACCAAACATTCGGTGCTCCATAAAAGAAAAAAACATCAATTGACAGTAACTAAATGATCGTTCTAGCTTCAGCTGCACTAACTTCTTTTTCAGATAACAGTAGTAGCCAGGTCAACCTTGTGTTAAGGTCGACCATTCCACTGGATACTTATTACCTCCCAACAAATTTAGTTGCAGAGGATTTTTGTTTCTCAACAGAACAAATATTTTTTACTCAATTATTTTTTTTAATTATTGAGAGAAATAGAGGGGGGAGGGGGGTATCTGTATCTCACGGTGAACTGGACTTTTCTGCTGTTCATATACAATGCCCACTATTTGTCAGAAAAGAAACCCCAACATGAAGACACCCACATAGATCCTCATGTTTAGAAGAAAATACTAAACAAAGTTGGAAAAGATGCTATCTCATCTCTTTACTATTTTAATCACTATTATTGACAAATCTTTGGACCCTACCACTCCATCAGACATTGAAACAAGGCACACTCAATTTAGTATGACACTACCACCACTCACTCCAACATCTACATTCTGCTTCCTAAAGCTTCTCATTCACTCATTCTTTCACAAAGGAAACAAGTCACTGCTGGTGGGTTCCATCTTTACAATATTTCCACACCTACTTAATATGAAAAGTTTTCGCAAGCTACAAAAGATTTTTACCCATCACTAGCAATAACAACAGGAAAAATGACAGAGAGAATCAGAGCAGGAGATTGATTCTTGGAGCTATCGAACAAATATCCAGCTCTAACAAACAATGAATTCTTTGAAGTGGGACAAGCTTCAATAACAAGCTGCTAGATGTAAAATCTATGCCTATTAAACTAATCTCAAACCCATAAACTTCTGTCATGTAATCTCTAAATTCTTATCATCCTGAATACAAGCATAATATAATACATTCTATATGACAAATTCTACATTAAATGCAGCTGCATGGCAGGCAAAAGAAACTGTAGTATTATGATTAGACCATAAATTGAATCACAGTGATTCTCAACCTCAATTAACTCCAACAAGAAATTGTTAAAGGCAGAATTGTTTGATTAGATAAAAGAGAAAACAAAGAAGAAGTGGGGGAATCGCGGGCTTGACAGGGACTGCAGTGAAACATGACGTAAGCATTGTCCCCTGGAACACCAAGCCTCACTAGGTGGGGACAGTGAAAAGAGATATGATAAATTTCAATACCTAATCTCACCTTCACCTCCTGCATGATCTCAATTTTATTCCTTGCCTCTCTGATCTCTAGTACTTTAAGAGTCCATTTGGTCAGTATCTTCAGCAAAATTGTGGGGGAGGGAAGTAAAAAAGACTTCTGCATAATTTCAACAGCCAGCAGAATGAGAAGTGCAGAGGATGGCAGCCGGGGAACTTCAATATTTGATCAAGGTGAGTGGTTGAGTTTGAGCTTAGGAAGAAACTCACCTTCAACATCTAAAGAATCTGAGTCACAGACAAGACCTACTCCTGGCAAGGTTTTTTCATGTAACTTCTGCATGAGGAAGTTCTACAGTTCACAGGCTCTGGGAGGCCACCAGAATGCTCACAAGAGAGAAAGAGGGGCAGTGAGACAGTACCAGTCCCAGAGGATGATGACAATGATGGCTTTGCCTATCAACAATCCCATGTTCAGATCTCTTGGCATGGTTCCTCACTCACTTGTGCATAGAACAGGTAGAGATGTAAGTACAACTGTGGCAAGGTTCAGCGATGCTAGTACAGGCTTTCAAATGACATCTCATCCCAATCCAGTGGATGAAGGATTTGACTTGAGATGGCCAGGAAGTTTTCGACTAAATCCACAACAATCAGAAGACCAGGCTTCAAATACAAATAAGATTGATCTGAATCTCAAGCTGTAATTATTCTACTCATCTATTGCAAATGTAACTGTTTTCTATCCTCTCATGTAACAGCTTCAACTTGGTTCATCATCAGTACATGAACTGACTGTATGATCTGCAAGACCTGTTTAGAGTAAAAGATCCTAGAGAAGTAGCGCTCCTAAATTTCAAGATTTCCAGCTTAAACCTATCAGATGAATGTTACCTAAGATGTAATATGTACTTTTCAGTTCCTTTTTATTCCTACTGCACTAAGAACAACTTTTTAACGTCTTACTCTCTCCCAAATAGTGGCAGAAGGTTATTGAATATGCATTTATAACTTTTTGGTATTAAGCTCGGAAATCTAGAGCAGTATGTTTAAGCTCAAGAAATTAGACAAATTCCAATTAGAACTTTAGAGGAAACATCAATTTTCTATCTTGGTCTATTGATGAATGTAAAGAGATTCACTGGCAAAACAATGGGAGAGAGGAGGGAGCGAGTGCGTGGAACGAAGTGCAGATGGAAGCTATGGAAGTCCTCATACTGAGTAAAATATTTGATCAGATGTAATTCCATTTCCTGGTTAGCAACATCTAAGAGAAGGAAATGGATATCTAGTCTCTCCCCTTCCCTTCTCTACTTTCTTGTTATTTTAGATGGTGGTGGATAGTGTTCAGGAAAAAGTTGTCACACAGTACACTGGCAAAAGAAATGGATGGGCCTTCACCTCTATTGCTTTCAACATGTCAATGTAAGTTAGACCTCTTTCCACAATCACATGCCAAAGAACAGAACTCAAAACTACTTATGGTCAGCAATAACACTTAAGTGCTAAACGAAACAGCAAAACAGAAACCCATCAATAGCACCACTCTAGAATTTTGTTGAACTTCTCCTGCGCACACATGAAACACAAGTTTAAATTAACATTTTATACTTCCCCTTCCAAAATCACGAAGTCTAGGCCTACTTTATTCAGCACCAAAGTCAGCAAACCATTCTCTACAAAGTGCTTCATAAGGTTGGTATGAAAGCATGTCGGCAATCAATCTAACTGTTCAGAGATGTACCCTACTGCCATCAGATTCTACAGAAATAGCTGACCTACAAGTCATCAACTCTCAACTTTCAGATTGTCTAATGCATAAGAGATAGAAACATAAGATAATATCTCATTGTAAGGCCAAATTTTCAATCAACTGTAACTTCACTACACACTTAGGAACCCACATGACCAGTTGAAGTTATAATATTTCAGTCAGTAGCAAAGAGAACTTGACTTCTCAATTTGGCAATTTTAAAGTTTTGAGCTTCTCCAAAACTGAGGAAGAAGTGGTGCGCTTCTACATGTCATGACGCATTTAGGAGGGCTAGCATAGGCCACAACGCCTTCACTCCCCTCCCACCCCCACCTTGAAATTTTGGTGTTGCTACTATCGATATGAAGCTTTTATCTTTCATATCGAGTTGACAAAAGCCACCCAGTACCACTTGTTCGCCAGTTTAGATATTAGAAGCAACAGTTACCTATAATAGGGTATACAAATTATTGTCCATTATTAATTTTTTTTAACAATGGTGCAAATTCTACTGAGCTTACAAGAATCCTTTCACATTTTCAAAAATTACCACTCACCACCTCTGAGTACTTCATTTATTTGTACATGCTGCATATATGCTTGAATACACTTCATAAACCTTTTTGGTCTGCCCTCCACTATTTAAAATATACCAGTATAACCTGTTGAACCTAGTGTCCATGCTTGGCTAACTAATGCAAAAATGGCCTTAAGATCTCATCATTTACATAGACGTACTAGTATAGACCATCAAATACTAATGGACTTTGCAATCTTCTGAAATACATAGATCAAAACCACAGCCTACAGTTGAAGACAATCTTTTTTATATGTTCTACTAAAGCCTTGAAAAAGAGAAAATTTGAAGAAAGTAATTATGGGGAAAAAGGTTGGCTAGTGACTGAAGTTTATTTAGTTGCCCTGAATCAACCCCACCATCCTGGCAAGGAACACTTCTATATATTTGTCTTATGTTGCAACATGCCCTTTCAATTGCAACCATGATTTTTTGGGTTAGTAGCACACGAAATAATCATGTTGATAAAGGCGGTGAAATTCAAACTTAGAACCTCTGACTGGATTCATAAAACTGTATGAATTGTCTTGTCTAAAAGTACAATTTTTTGTATTTGTTTGTTTTACTTCTGAAACATAATGTTCATCATAACTTGACTATTATCATCACAAATGGGTTCTCTGTTGTTCATTTACCATTTACCAACTAACTCATCATCAAGTTTACCAATAACATTTGTTCTCAATCAAAAAGTTAATGAAAAAAGGATTTGTTTGCTCAACCAGATCTGATAACAAGGGAGGAAGTTTCACGAAAAATATACTAGAGGTATAATTAAGTCCTAGTAAAATCGATCTTTAAGATGTCTAGTAACAACTTAGTACCCTGATATTCTAAAGGCAACAAGAGGTTTTAATCTTCAAGACTTGTGCTTCTTGTTATTAGTTGTAATTGAGACATGAATTGTTCGTCTGGTTATGAAGAAGATTATGATTTGAAAATGTGGAGTGCATAGATAGATTTCGACCTTATGAGGGTAAAGAGGACTGCCCACCTTCCCACCCCTTTTCTCCTACTTCCTTTTCTCTTTCTTTATTTCCTGCATTTCTTCTCACTGAATTAGAATCTGGTTTGTCATCTCACTACAGAAGCAATCTTATTCCAAATCCTAGTCTGTTCTTTATGAAAATCCTCCCTGAAGCCTGTCAACTATTCTGCTTTGAGTAACTAATTTCAGCACCACAGTTTCCTGTATCATTACGGCATCAACAAACCTTTAGAGATCATGAAAGATGCCAACAAGTCTATAAAAGGAGTAGATGAATGACTTCTCCCTAAAAATACAAAGATAAAGTAACATCGAGATTGCCTGCTCAAACAGTGAATAAAATGGACTTAGCACTCCATCAACTCTAAGCTGTGTAATGCATTCAACCATAAGTAAAAGAGACTAAGAAACAATAACTCAGGCGCTAAAAGATATTGTTTATGTTTCCTCAACAGAGACACTCACCCATAAACGCAGCAACAAGAACCAACCACTTGGCATGACTCTCTAGAGATACACAGAAATCGATCATCAGTGAATCGTAAGTCGGACAAATTGATATGACTTGATAAGAACCAGAATAACATTACCACTTTCACTGTTAAAAGTGAGACTCCATTATCAGCAAGTTCATCCTCATATAAGATGATCTGTTGTATGAAAAAATGGAATCAACTTGGGTGCTAGAAAGCTAACACAGGTAGAAAATGGATAATACTCCTCAGTTAAATGACCCTGAAATCACCACATTCTCATTCACCAACCTCATCATAAAAGAGAATAGGTTCTTTTGATGCCAGAGCTTTAAATCAATCTTGTCAATGCAATCCTCCCATTAAAGACTACAGCTGCGTTCATTCGGTAATCCTCTTAACACACTATTATACAAAATTAACAAGAACAGTTCAAACAACTTTAGAGTCTGACAGCAAAAGGATCAATAACTAAAAGGAAACATAGAAGAAGGGATATAAATAAAAATGTTCCCATTCAAAGAAATTAATTTTCCAAGTAATCAGCAATTATTGCTAAGGTGCAACTCAAAATTCAATATTTAAGTCATTGACCGAGCATAAGGACAAAATAACTGATGAAACAGCCTAACCAAAGTAGAAAGCATTAAACAAGCTGGCATATTAACTTTTACAATCTAAAAAAATGTGAGTGAATAATAAAGTGTCTACAAACTTTAATAAGTAAATTTTTGTGCCAGTATTCACATGTTTAAGCACCAAAGAATTGTCCCCAAATACCATCTCTGGCAAGTGAGAGGTCTCAAGTTTTTCTTCCCATCTGTATGCATATCAAACAATTTAGGGAGGAATTAGACCCCTTTAAGATATCAAAGAGATATGTTTGCTTCCAAGAAGAGGATATGAATTACTATATGCAAAAACATAAAAGTCCACAAAAAAATGTCCAATACAGCAAATGCATGGCAATTTTTTTTCATGGGGTTAGGGAGAGTTTAATATTTAGGGATACTTCTTCACAGGTCATATGTCACAAGCAGGACGGTCAAACAGCAAACATTCTTCGAACAAAATTGAATAATTAAGAACCCTCATCAATGCAGCACTCAACCTAAGATTTGCAGGGAATGCATACACTAAGATAAGAATCAGTAAAACCTCAGGCCTGAGTGATGAATCATTGAAATTCAGCATCATGAGGAGTTATCCAAAGTAGTGCAAAAGATTCACGCAATACGAAATTGCATATCAATTCTCATCCAAATAGCTATTGTGGATTAGAACAGTTCAGATTAAGTAGAGGAAAAGGCTACAACTCCAATTCTGTAGGAGCACAAGTCTTATTTCATGTTTCACATCTTCCTACCGTAGCCTGCGTGATTTTCTGTTTCCGCGTAGTTAATCAATCAACTACGCAGCAATCCAAACAATTTTAAATTGTTTAAACATGAAACAAACAAGTTGCAGCCACGGAAACAAATAAGCGCTTAATTGAATAGTACATATAAAAGGAGTAAAAGAATACTGTTGAAGCTGAAGAGAAGTGAGAATGGAATGCTTTCTAGACTCAATCTCCCAGCCGTGTATACGGAGTCCACTCCGTCCGTCCGGTAGAGGCTTAGCTCCGACAGCCTTTAGCTCTCTCTCATCACTCTCCCACTCCATGTTCCGATCGTCCGGTAGATTACTTTACCGGTTGGTTTAGGAAATTTTACAAGTACCAGTTTCTCCAAAAAAAAAAAAAAATTGTGTACCCAAATATAGACCCCCAAAAAAATTAAAATAAGGCCAGCTTGAAAAGTAACTTGATGATTGGATTTGGATGCAATTGAATATAATTACAGCGTTAGACAAAACAAGTATTTAATTCTCCAGAAAGATGAGAATTGTGAGATACTTCATTATCACTTTTTTTAATTTCTTTTTTTTTTTTTTTGGAATTTAACAGTTTACTCTTATTTATAAAAACTAGTCTTGAACACAGGTGAGAACCACAAAAATATAATATGTTGTAGAAGGTACATTAAAATCACATTGTGATAAATTTCAGAAGTAATTTAACAAAAAAAAATATAAATGAAATAAATGAACAATCAACCTTTATAAATGACTTCTTTATCATAAAATGTAAATGTCAAATAATTAGATATTTCGATAACCTGTCAAATTTGGAAAACGAAATTTAATATGATAAATAATTTACCTTTTTATGTTATTAGGTCGAAACCTACAATATATTAGTTTGTTACTTCTCTCTAAGAAAGGAACAATGCAAATATAACATACCTTTTCTCAATTTGTACCAAAATTTGAATTAACATATATACTTGTAACAAATATATAAGTTGTCATCGTATTACATTCACATGACAGAGTGTGTTTATTCTTCTCTGTAGCATGAACAAATATTTCAATAATTTGATCATATGGTTATTTTTCATACTTCTTATCATTTTTTAATTTTTTTTATCCTTTTTTTCTTACTTTATTATTGTTTTCTCTAACATTACTATTTCGTATACTTTGACTTAATTTGTCTTCCCCTTTCGTTTATATATGTTCCATCCATTTTATTTTTGTTGTTTTATTTTTTATATTCACATTTTCATTCATAAAAAATGAATAAATAAAAGGATTATCTAAAAACACAAAATAATTAAAAGTGAATTTTTTTTCACTTTTGATTGTATTTTATAAATGTGTAAAATTTATTTTAAAGAATTTAAAATTCTTATATATGAATTCATGAAATGATATAAAATAATGAGATAATTTAACCTACATGTTTCAAATCATGATTCATAAGTAAACATGCATACACATTTCAAGATGATGAATACATGCGAAAATGCTTATAAATATGAAATATTTATTTAAGAAAATAGAAGCAACATATTATTTGTTTGATTTTACTTACCAATAAAAGAGAGAATGGAAAAATAATTCTTCAGTGGCTTGACTCTTGCATTCACTGATTCACAAGTTATGCTTATCAAATAATCCATAAACATCCTGTATATATAATTGTTAACAATTACATTGAAGTGGACAATAATAATGTGAAATAAGTGTCATCAAGATAATTCTTCAGTTCTAAAATGCTTGGACTTCCGCTAAATAACTTTCTATCTTCCACTATCTTTAATACATAATATAATGCACATTTGAATACCTTAAAACTGCTCCCATTTATATCTAGTTTTGTATTTAGTTATTAGAATATATTTTTTATTTCGTACATAAAAAAAGAATATTTAAATGAAAGACAAAATTGTAATTCAACTTTGAGGTTAGGAGCTTCCCACTTATAATATATACGATGATATGATTACTTTAAATTATTTTGAATATATTCTTCTTTCTCATTTCTCAAACCTTCTTATTATTCCGTGTAATCTCCGGTACATTTTTTTATGTTCTCCTTTGAAGATAGGTAACTATTATTCTAGTTTTTGAAACTAGACCTATATACTGAGTAATATCATTTAGAGTAAAATTTCTTTGTTGAAAGATCATATGGGCATTAACAAGTAGAAACATTAGTGATACGCCTTACTCGTCGCTGTTACACTAATACTACTCACCCTCGCTGGTATATACCGTCTATAAAACTCACTAGTAATTCAATTCTTAACAAATGATATATTTGTCTTCACCAAAATGGAGCAGCAATTTAACTGAAATAGGTTAATCTTTACTGACAGTTACACAACGGAAGGACAATGAAAACCAAGTAAATAAAAAGAAAAGAGACATTTTCATCTGCAACACCGTACCATGTCTACTGTACGATTGAGACGTAAATGTATAGCATAATTGAAATTTAAATACCATCTAGTCCCTGATAGATCCACAGCTTTAATCACTGGGCAACTACTAAGAACAAAATTCAGCTCATATCTCGGACTCTCCATGATGCATATTCAGAATGAGTTAAGATTGACCGGAGGACTCCACATGATTCTGTACTGCAAAGTTCCACCTACAACGAGCTAACGTTTCAATCTCTAACCGTTCACCGATATCAGAAAACTTCCAGGTTAGATAATGTTCCACACAAGAGATTCCAGAATTTGGAACTTCCACTCTTCAGCCTTGTTTCTGCAACCTACTACTTCTACGGACGTTCTGAGAATTCGGGGTATCAACCTTCACCATCGGCTTCTTGCGAGTCTTACTTTGAGGAGTATCATCTGGTCCTTGATCTGTTGTATTATCGTTCTGAGAATTTGCAGTACCAACTTTTGCCTTCTGCTTCTTGTAAGTCTTACTGCAGGGAGTGCCACCCGATGCTTGTTCTGTTGTATTATCATTCGCAGTACCAACTTTTGCCTTCTGCTTCTTGGAAGTCTTACTGCGGGGAGTGTCCTCTGATCCTTCATTTGTCGTATGAACTTTTTTAGTTGGTTCACTAGATTTTTTTCCACTGGTGTCCTGTATCAACAATTCTTCTTCACTCTTATCTATTGCATGACCTTTTTCTCCATTTAGACATTGCTTTGGTTGTTCCAATTTCTCAACCCCATTGCAGGAAGCAATGATACTATTAGATTCAGTTCCAAGTGGTTCTCCAATTATCTGTGATTTGGATGGAGATTCTTCCGACACTTTATGACTCATAATTTTTTTCCAGTTAGGAGAATGACGATGGCAATGACGAGCATTTTCAAACCATTTACTGACCTGTATATTAATTAAAAGAAAAAAATAACTAAGGCGGCAAAATGAGCAGGCCACAAAGCAATAAAGAAGACACAAGTGACAAAAAAGAGGATGAAGCTGAAATTAACATATGCCAGGGAAAGCTTATAAAACCTGGTGAGCTGTTAGCCCTAATTCTTTACCCAACTTCTCCTTTGCGTCACGGTCAGGATACTGATTGTCCTTGAAGGATTCATATAGTCTCTGAAACCCAAAAAAGCATTAAACTGAAGTGAGGAAATGCATGAAAACTAACAAATGATATTCTTTCATTCACATTTTATTCAAAAACTTATCAATTTGTCTCTTCAAGCAATTTTTTAAAAAGAAAAAAGAGAACATAATTAGAAAAGCCACAAGTACCATACAACAGTTTGAAAAATAAACTTTCAGAAGGCATCTAAAGAGTAAATAAGGTTTGCTTGAAAGTTAATGAAGTGTATTCATCATATCCATTGAACACTATTTCTTCAAGAATGACGCAAGTATGATCTCCTCCTACCTTCAAGAGGTACTGTTTTTACTTTTCATGAAGTAAGATGTCGACCCCACTTGTAGGATTTCACGGGGTCTGTTGTTATTGTTGTTGTTGGAAAGTAAGATATCACTGGAACTATAAAGACTGATCAAATTATGTAAGCAGTTGGAACCAGGGTAAAGCCGACAAATACCTTGGTGGAGACTTCTCCATATGTTTTTCTTTTACCACTTGAAGGAGATTCGGAGGTGCCCGTGCCTCCAACTTTGAGTTTCTCAGAGATTCCACTATCAGAAGCATGCCCACTCCCTTTTTGTTTCCCACTTTGATACTTGATATCTGCAGGAGTCGAACTAGGAGCAGCCATAGCACCTTTGGCGTTTCTCAACTTTCTCACCTTGGGTAAAGGACCATCATCATAATCTTCATCACTAGAATCAGAAGACCCATTTCCATATGTTTCCTTCATACACCAATCCGAGCAAATTAATCCAATCAGGTTGAAGAAAAAAGATAAGGAGTCACATTGAAGAGCACAAAAGGCGTACATGATTGATGAATATACGCCATGCAGAGACGTACCATTTAAATTGAAAAAAAAAAGTTTTTCAACATAATAGATCTTAGATTATGTTGATACAATATAGAAAAAAAGTAATGATTTAATTTTTTTAAGAATGATTTTAATATCCATGTTAAGTGCAAGAGCTTGATATTTCAACTTGGTTGTGCCAGAGTAGATGTCCATCAACTCCACCAGCTGAATCACAGATCATATGAAAGTTACAAGCCATGGTTTGGGAAAAGAATCCCATTCTTTCCAGGAGATGACCTTTATATCACGTGACGAATTCAGCAAGATATCAATCAACGAAGACAGTGAGAACATACCTCAGTAACCTAAACATTAGTCATGCAGCTCTTTAAGAGAAACAACATTATCCGCTAATAATGTTAAGTGCTTGACAGTTTGTACAACTTAAGCACCTATATAAGAACTTCGATCGACTCAGCCGTTAGAATTCAATTTGAATGTTTTAGATAAGAGCTTATGTTGTATTTCCCTCGAAACCTTTCTGTACTAAAATTTAGTGACCCAGTTCTTGTATATGCCATGTATGATGATATTCTAGACTTCAAACCACAGAAAGTGACTACAATACCCAATCACAAAGAGACAAAATGTGACTCCCAACAAAAGGCTGGTGTGTTTTTGTTCCCACTATCCTAGTCAATAGGCTCTCATGACAAATTTTATACTGATGAAATCAGGACAAAACCAGAAAATTATGTTAATGTGACTATGTGAATGACCAGTCAATGATAGATAAGTTGCATCTAGAAAAAAAATCGAAGAACTAACCCAAACAGGAACTGAATCTTTGTGCTAAAGAAAAACCGGAGTAATATTGAATATGATAATCTCATAAATGATGACAGAAACAAACTGGTCAAGCAAAACTGGCATGATCAATGCCACTGGAGTTTCCATGTGCTCTTCTAACATATATGGATATTCTATATGGAGTGCGCCAGTAAATTTAATACTCTGAATCTAAACAGTTAAGAGATTGACCAAGGCAAGAGCATGTCAAGAGGGATGAGAGGTACTAAATTAGTTATATACATAAATACTACTCTAGATAATTAGAAAGCATATATTGGACAATTATACGAACATAAATAATTATAAATAAAAAATAGAAGCTTACATCGTGCAGCTTTTTGTAGTCCAACCTCTCTATGTGCCTTTTGGCAGAGACAAGAGGG